ATCTGTTACAAACTGTCAGTAGCAAAAAAACCAACAAGTTCGTTATTTCTGGTCATTAATCTATATCATCAAAAGCCTAAGACTGGGAAAAAGGTCATCGGCAAATTTAAATTTCACGCTCATCTGAATTCTAAATTTAATTTAAATTTAAAAAGGGCGGATACTCGCTATTTGGCGACGCGTAGTACGCACGACCTACCCCTAACAAATATCGTTAAGCCAATGCGGTCGATAGAAGTATATAGAGGTCGAGGACGAATTATTGCGCGTCACAAACGTTTTGACGACGTTTCATGATCTTATTATTTGTGTTTAGAAGAGAAAAAACAAAACTTATTGAGTATTTTTATTGCTACAACGTACAAGGACAGTTATTATAATCGTACCTATACTTAGCTACGCAATGTCAAGAGCAATAAGTCTAAAAATAGTTTTATGTAGTATTTGGAAATGATCGATTTTGATGGCCGTGGCATTGCATAAAAATTACCAGCTTTATTACAGAACACCAAGCTACTGGTAGGCACACAAGTTGCTAAAGCTTGAATCCACTATCTGGATCTCTGGATTCAACGCTATTATTGCCCAACCTCTATAAACAAATGTCCACCGTGATTTTTGATTATATAGTTGTTCAGATAAATGATAATAACTAGTTTTACTCAGTTTACCTGCTTTTAAATGTGAAATCCTATTAACCAAAGGCCGTTCACTACACACGTATAAATGAATAACAATAATGAGTGAATATTTAATTAAACAAAAAATAATCTTTTACATTCTTGACACACATGTTCTATGGTAATGTTGCTCTCTGCTGCCAACTTCCTAACTGCTGACAACACTAAACTAATAATTTCATTGTATTTCACATTAAATTTATATTCCATATCATCAGAACTTTATAGTCAATCAGCCATATTTGAAAAAACAGCCAGACGTTCTTATGGTTTTGTAGTTCAACTTCAACTTTCAAGTTCCAATTTTTTTAGCTAAACCTTTACGCAGAATGAAAGTTTCGTGTTTTAGATGCATATTGGCGACTATTATACCAATAATCTGAAGGCTTCTTGCACTCCAATCGACTGACCATCTTCAGCCGACACTTTGTTCTGGAGATATGATTGACCCTTTGACCCTACAAATAGATATATCTGGTCCAGACGTTCCAATCGCTCTTTGTGAGTACCCTCCTCCGACACATTCTCCGAGGTATTTGTACTTAAAGCTTTGGCCTCATCAATATACAGTGCGTTCAAGATAAGAGGGCCATCTTAAAATGTATGTCTTATTTGGTTTAACCGGAATTGGAGGCAACTTTTGTTTTTCAAATGCAATGCCTATGGATTTGTCCAAAGTTCATATGGAGTCTGTTCCATAATCCGCGATGTGTTTTACAAGTAAACGGCCGTGTTTACGGCCTCAGCGCAAATCTTCTTCCCAAGTTTGGCATCCAACAAGAGACGCCTGGCATTTTCAACAATTGTTCGATTCAGATGTGCACACTTCATTTTGTTGCGGCGTTTATGGATTGGTCTTCTGATGAGTAATGCCGTTACTGGCCAAAAATTGTTCAAACGCATTACTCGCCACCATTATCGCTCCTACAAATCTTTAACTTTGTACCGGATATTTTTGCACATGTGCTTTGATCGATTTAAAACATTCAAGAACTTCATCCTTCGCATTTCCGAAGTTATTTATGAATATTTTTCAAGAATAGCCAAGTCGTCTCACCAGTGGCGTAACTACAATGCCTCAAAGGTACGCAACGAGGACGGGCCCCGACTTAAAAGGGGCCCCGGCACAAATGTACAAAAAGCAGTTAAAGCCAAAGCCATGCCGTGTTCCCCTAGAACTAATTGGACAAAAGAACCGAGCCGAAGAAACTTCCGAATCATTGTTCACAGAGGGTAAATATAAGTGAAAAATTTGGAGCAACATCTACAATATAGAAAAATTAACAATCCGAGGAAGTAACTCTTGAATTGGAATAATTTAAATCTGACTTTAATCTAATACAAAATTTGATATGCTGAAAAGTATCCAGCTCAAATAGATTTAAAAGGAACTCCGCTCCTTTCCCATTTGTGAAAAATAATATTCGGGCCCCTTACACAAATTACATGAAATTCTTTGTTGATTAGCGGCACCTTCTACAATCCAGAAGGTATCTGAAGGTCTCGGCTACGGTAACCCTGGATTGAAGTTGTATTTCGAGATGAATGTCGCTAATTAATTTTAACCCTGCACCTCTGCACGGCAAAATACGCAGATTCATACACAAAGAAGTCAAAATAAGAATAGCATTTAAAGTATAACAAACAAATTCAAGGGTTACCTACAGCCAGTTACAAGTAGGCGAATCTGGCGAAGGCAATACAATAAACCATAACACGAAGAATTACAATTAAAATTAAGTGCATTACCTTTTAAAAAAATTTAGAACAACAGTAAAAAACTTTCTGATGTCTAGTGCTTTTTACTCCCATGAGGAGTTTCTGGAATCTAGCTATAAGATGGAACTGATATGATTGTATTATTGTGATTTATGTAGTTGGTTATTAATATTAATTGTGTTATGTTTTATATCGTTGTTATTATGTTATATTGTTGACAAGTGTAAATGCCTCCTAAGGCGTAATGCATACAATAAATTCAATTCAATTCAATTCAATTCTTTTGTTATGGCACAAATATTGCACAAAACTTGACAATTAAAGTTCGAGCAAAATCAACTGGACTCTGACTGAACCCGGAAAACAAAATGACACTAAATTTTACAATGGGCCCCAAAATGAAAAATCAGCAAAGCTAAATCAAGACAGTATTTCCTACATATACAGACTAACATTGTTTAAACATTGTTGATATAAAAATTGTGACACTAATGACAGCATTGTATTTAAAAAATTATCAAAGTCCTCGTTTGAGATCGAAGGGACTTCAGCGCATTTTTGTGTGGCAGATCAGTATTCTATTAGCCACTTTCGATTCAACCATCAATAACAGATCTTGTCGAAGGCTCCTACATTCACTAACCGCTTCCCACTTTCCTCGTGCACCCGCAATTCGCTTTTAAAGATTTGACTCCACCATCAGGAAGATCGTGTCGGGGGCTACCACATTCCCTTTGACGGTACCCACTTCCGACGTTCGGTTCACCCGCAATTCGCGTTTGAAGATTTGACTCCACCATCAGGAAGATCGTGTCGGGGGCTACCACATTTCCGTTGACGGTACCCCCTTCCGACGTCCCGTTCGCCCGCAATTCGCGATTGAAGATTTAACACCACCATCAGTGAGATCGTGTCGCGGGCTACCACATTCCCTTTTACGGTACCCACTTCCGACGTCCCGTTCACCCGCAATTCGCGTTTGAAGATTTGACTCCACCATCAGGAAGATCGTGTCGGGGGCTACCACATTCCCTTTGACGGTACCTCCTTCCGACGTCCCGTTCACCCGCAATTCGCGTTTGAAGATTTGACTCCACCATCAGTGAGATCGTGTCGCGGGCTACCACATTCCCTTTTACGGTACCCATTTCCGACGTCCCGTTCACCCGCAATTCGCGTTTGAAGATTTGACTCCACCATCAGGAAGATCGTGTCGGGGGCTACCACATTCCCTTTGACGGTACCTCCTTCCGACGTCCCGTTCACCAGCAATTCGCGTTTGAAGATTTGACTCCACCATAAGTGAGATCGTGTCGCGGGCTACCACATTCCCTTTTACGGTACCCACTTCCGACGTCCCGTTCACCCGCAATTCGCGTTTGAAGATTTGACTCCACCATCAGGCAGATCGTGTCGGGGGCTACCACATTC